AGGTCACGGTCATAATTGTTTGTGAAACGACTTCGAGCCATGTTGACGATTAGATTATACAACCGTCGGTGTCGGGTCCTGCTTGGCATAGTCGGTGACAGGATGCTCGGGCTCGGCCTCGGGCATGGCGAAAAACTCTTTGGGGCCGACCCAGAGGTTCTTGAGGAGACCGCGGCGCCACGTAATGAGGCAGAGCACACCCAGCGTGCACGGCACGAGGTACAAGAGCGCGGGCTGCCCCGACTGCATGAGAATGACGCCGACGTTGGCAAGAAGAAGACCGATCGCATACCCAATGCACATGACACCAAAGAGGCCGATGCGGCCGGGGTACGCGGCGGGCGTTGCTTTTTTTGTCGGGTGGCCGAGCACGTTGCCGCGCGTCGCATAGTCGTACCGGGCCGTAAAGACGAGGAGAAGACCGGGCAGCACAATGTCACCGAGGCCGAGCATCGCTTGGCCACCGAGCCAGTTGGTCACCTTGGGGAGACGCAGCAAGATCGGAATCTCCTCCTTCACACAGCCGTACGTCGTGTCGCGGGGGTACCGGAGGCAAAAGGCACCCGGCGCTGTCTTGGCGTCTTGCTTGCCACCCTGCGCCGCGACGATCATGACGCTCTTGCCAAAGATGTAGGGCGAGATGAACACGAAAAAGATGTCGTAGAGGAAGACGAGCACGAGAAGCACGACCGCGACCTTGATGTTGGGAAGGCGGATCGTCTGCAAAAAGAGGGTGCAGACGCAAATGCCAAAGACGTCTTGGAGCACCCACGCCCACGACGCGTGGCGAGAGAGCACCCAGAGAAGCACGAGGCTCAGCGAACACGCAAACGAGAGCAAGTCTGCGGCCGAGATGCAAATGTCGCCGAGCGCCTTGGTTTCAAAAATCCAGAGCGGCTTGCGCAGCGCCTTGACGCGCTCAAAGAGCGGTGAGAAGAGAATCGTGCTAATGGCCGAGTTGGCGCCAAAGCAGTACATGACGATGACGATCATGACCACGTTAACGTAGAAGAGCAAGAGGAGAAACGCCGAGCCAAAGACGAGGAACCCAATCGCGTGCGTCCAGTTGATGTCCATGGCCGGCTCTTCTTCTTGCTCCTGGCGCAGCTGGGCGACGACAGTCGCCGTGACGTGACCGACGGGAGCCGTGCGCACGACCGCCTTCTTGCGCTCGAGCGACGACGCAAGGTACCCAGCCATGATGATCGTCGCGACTGCCATCGCCCATACAAGACCCTGCGCGAGGTCGACTTTGGGAATGAAGCGCTTGTAAATACTGACAGACGAGCCGTCCTTGATCTTGGCCGCGTCCATGGCGCGCACACGCACAAGAGGGATCGTGACTTGGTTGTAGTTGACGCCGGCGCCCATGTAGTCGGTGACGTCCCACATGCAGCACACTTGGTTGCCATTGCCCGTCGGAATGCAGCGGCCGGACGGGCAGTCACTGCTGCACGACGCGTCGTTGTTGGCGTCGCTCCACGGCGGGCTAGCTAGCGTTGCGAGCGTTGCTTGACCCTGCGAGCAGTCATAGGCGTCGGCCTTGTCCCAGACCGTGGCGTTCTCGCGCACGGTCGTGTTGTAGATCGACTCGACAGTGTCCGCGACGAGCACCGCGGTGGCGCCGAGCTTTTGCGCCGTGACCGCCTTGTCGGTGAACGTGCACAGACCGCGCTGGATCATCAGCGCAAACGGCTGGCTGCTTGCGGCGAACGTCGCCTACGAGGCGTTATCGTTAGCTTCTGGGCGGAGCACATTGCACGTACGAGGTGAGCCTTCAGCACCGACGAGTCGAGAAGAGCGCTGGTGTTGCAGCCAAAGACGTCTGGCACGCCAGCCACAGCAGACAACGAGACCACGGTCGTCTTGATGGCAGCGTCCTCGGTGGGCAGGTTGCCGCCCCATTGACCTGGGCCAAGCGGGTCGTACGAGTACGTGCCATAGAAGGCGTCGGAATCCGTTGTGACGACGGCTGTCTCAAGTTGGCCGGTATCGCCCGACTGGCCATGCGCGAGGCCGCAGAGAGCGAGGGCAGCGATGGCGGCGCGCGACAGGATCATTTGGGCAAGACGCAGACTGGCCGAACTCAGAGCTGAAATATTTGCGTGAACATCCAGGGCGGACTTGCCGATTTCACACGTACACACCGCATTTCTCACGTTTGTTTCACAGGAATCCTGTGTCCTTTGTAGAAAGAAAATGGTGAAAATCGCACGTGAAGAACGCTTCCCACCCTGTGTAGAACGACCAGGTGCGACAGGCCTATTCTTAGAAGCAGGCCCCATAAAAGAATCTCATACAATGTTCAAGGCAAGTATCCAAGGTACGTAGGGGGCCCCACGGAGAGCTGGTTTTAAAACCGAATGACGGCAGTAATAATCCGATTTCGTGCCGTTGAATGGAGCATAACTCATTTTGAGTATAAGGCGGTAGAGTCGCGAATAATATTACGTCGCATTTTAAAAAGACACGACAGCGTAATGGGTGCTGGTACACAACGTTATCCGAACGCGAAACTCAAAACTTAGAAATTGAGCGCAACACAAGCTTAAACGCTGTGGCCTGTCTTGGATAAATGCACGCAATGATACTCGACCCGCGCTGTGTCCACGTTCCCTTCTTTATAGAAGGCTACATGCCCTATAAGAGTTCTGCACCTGTGCATTTAAAAGATAGGCATCTCCTCGCACCCCAGTATCCACATTGAAATGTGTAGTGTACCGATCTGTACTGAACGCAACGCTGGCTTGAGGTGACCATTTTGATTAGCGTCAACGGGATGTTCTCACCATGCGCGACCAAAAATGGCGTGCGCTTAGACTCGCTGACTGCATCGCACCTCAATTGAGCTTCAGCGGTATCCGGAGGCGCGTCACTGCAGCGTGGTGGTCGTCGGTGTTGCCGCAACAGCGATCGCGCACAACCCAGACAACCAGCGATGGGCCGCCCGAAGAGCGACAGCTTCGCCAAGGAAGGCGAGGCACTTCGCTCGTCCTTCAACCAAGAAAAGACGCTGTTTGATAAGCTCAAGGCCGGCGTGCACAAGAGCCGAGCCAGTTCGTTCGACGAGCAGCGGCTCAGCCGGATGGGCTCGGGCGACGACCTCGTCGTGGACCTGCTCGACCTCAAGACCTTCAACCACCGGCTCGAAGCCGTCGCGGCATCGCGAAAGGCAAAGCGTGTCGCGTTCGCCGACGAGCTGTGCACAACGCACTACGTGGACGACCTTCAGTACCCGTGCCCGTTGTCGTCCATGCCGTACAACATCTTCCGCACACGCCGCGTGATTAGCTACGAGGAAGAAGAGCAGCTTCTGACGCTCTCTTGGGACCACGCGCTGCCGTACAGTAGCGTCGACTTTGGCGCCGCCGTGCTGCAAATGCACTCGCGCAACATGGACTTTCTGCTCGTCGGGCCTGTCAAGATCCACCACGTGTCGTGCATGGGCATATCGTGGAAGTCGTACTGGGCCGGCTTGGCCTCTGGTATCATGTGCTTTGCCGGCCTCGACGACGTCGATCAGATCTTCCAGTGTCCCATCCACAAGTGCCGCGTCCAGGTCCTCAGCACCACGGAGATGCGCATGTACGAGGTCGCGGGCCTGCGCGACGTCGACGAGCTCTTCCTCAAGTTTTCCAACGCAGCAACGCTGCACATGTGGTTCTGGGCCATCCAAATGGCGTCCGCGTCGGCCTCGTTCATGGACCCTGACCACTTCACCAAGCGGCTACGACGGCTTGTGCGGTCGACGCCCGAGGCGTCCTTGAGCTTTGTCGAACAACTCGGACAGTCGCTCGGTTTTGGCGCGCGCAAGTCCGATGCGCAGCCGGACGTCAAGCTGCCCGTGACATTGCACAACCCGCCGCCGGTCCACCAGCTCGGGCCTCACACGCCGTCCAACAGCAAACCTGCGGCGATGCGCCACCGCATTCTATTTGTGCGCCACGGCGAGTACGAGAACCACCACTTCAAGACGATGGACCCCGAAAAGTGCTTGACGCCGCTCGGCGACGAGCAGTCGCGCGCGACGGCCAAGTACCTCTGCTCGCTCATCGACGACGCGGGCTTGACGTACCAAGACGTGCGCATCGTCTACGCCAACGTCACGCGGTCGATCCAAACCATGGACTTTATCGCCAAGGAGATCGACGCGGCTGCCGGCATTTACGAGACGTACAACCCATACGAGACGGCGTCGCGCCAGCAACGCGTCGCGCGGCACGAGTTTGCGCTCTTGCGAGAGAGCGCGCCCCACGGCCTCTCAGCTTCGCAGCGCTACCTGAGTCGCTCGGCCAAGATGGCCCTCGCACTGCAGCTGCTCTGCGCGCCGGACGACATGTACCCGATCACAATCGTCGTGTGCTCGTCCAGCTTCATCCGGTATTGCACGCACCAGGCTGCATACAACGTTGGGTTTGTGCTCTCACCAGGTGAGATGAACCACACGATCGTCATGGGCTACTGCAGCGTGACACAAATCGACGTCGGGAACGACCACGCGCTGTACCTGCGCGGAATCAACGAGACGACGCACCTCGCCGACGTGCGCGAGTCGGCGACCGCCCCGCCGGTGGCCTAGTGTAGTCAAAGAACTTATTTGTCGATCAATTTAATGTTAGAAGAGAAGAAGCCCGGTGTATATGCGTGCGTCGCACGGACGCGCGAGTCGCTTTTGGTCGGCTTGTGCATTGGATCGCTATGATTGTTGGTGTAGAAAACGGACATGCGCAATGGGCTGATACTCGCGTGCCGACACAGGTGATGTCGCGACAGTAAAGCTACTCGCGCCCATCGCAAGAGTGGGCGAGGAGAAGCGCGGGTGCGGATTCCGATTTCTTTGCGAGTCGCGGTGTTCTCGCTGCTGAGGAATGATGATGGTAGGGAGATCTTGCCACGGTGGGTCGTTTTCCCTTCTTCGCCGTCGGCGCCGCGGACGCCATCCATCCATATGGGTGCAATGGTCAAGACGGAACCACTGTTCCGACCACGCGTTTGATGCTGGAGTGGCTTTGCACATCTTGTGCTGCATCCAGACGAATAGAACTGCTGGTCGAATACTGTCAAGTCTGGATTCGTTGCAGCCGAGATATATAATACCTTCGTTGGAAGCATCTCCAATGCTCAAATGCCCCTTCTGTCCGCACGCGCCCAGACGTGCCCCTTTCGAAAGCGCACCCGCGCCATCGGCGCGCCACGTGGTGTGCCCCGGGGTCCATAATTGTAGCCAATCAACGACGGCGAATCTTGACTTTCCTGAAATACATCCCACTGTGGCGCTTGAAGTTGGGGCCATACGAAGCCCAAGTGACTTGGAACTCCAAGCTCAGATTCCAGCACGCCATCTTGCCTTTTCACAGAGGTCGTAAAGCCGATGGAGGAGACCCGCCCGACGAAGCGCTTCATCGTGCGCCGCCACACGCACATGCCGCCGGACGAGATCATTGATGACCACCCGCACTTTGCCATGCACACGGACCACGTGCACCACGTGTGGTGCCCGCGCCACAACCACTACTACGACGACCGCACCAAGCTGGCCGTCGAGAGCCCGGGCGATTTGTCGGGCATTCGCGATTTCATCGCCGGGTCGTTCGCCGGCGTCTCGTCCACCGTCGTGGGTCACCCGGTACGCTCGAGCATGTCACCATGGCATGTGGCTTATTGCGTCCATAGTTTGACACGGTCAAGGTGCGGCTGCAAATGCACTGCCCGCTCTCGTCGTCCTTCAAGGGCCCGCTCGACTGTGTCATGCAGACAATCAACAAGGAGGGCTTCCTCGGGCTCTACCGCGGCATGGTCTCGCCTATGACGACGGTGCCGCTCGTCAATGCCGTCGTCTTTAGCACGTACGAGAGCGCCAAGTCGTTCTTGCTCAACCGCCGAGAAAATCACAACGGCGTGCTCACCAACAACGAAGCGATGCTTGCCGGTAAACGACGTCCATGACGACGCCCGCTAACGGCAACGGTGTAGGGGCGTGGGCGGGTTTGATGAACTCGGTGGTCGTCACACCTGTCGAGCTCGTCAAGTGCCACTTGCAGGCGCAGGGTGAAGCCATTGCGACGCACGCAAACGAAATCAAGTTCAACGGCACGATGGACTGCGTCAAGAAGATCGTCGAGATCGACGGCATCCGGGGCCTCTGGCGCGGCCAGGTCGCGACCATGTACCGCGAAGTGCCCAGCTACATTGGGCAGTTTGGCACCTGTATATACTTTGCTGCTCGAAAGCTCGGCAAAAGCTCACTCGCTTGTGTAGACGAGCTGCTGCAACAAGTCTTTACGAGCCAGATGGAGGGAGTCGACGGCAAGCCGAGTGCTACAACAACGCTCTTGGCCGGCGGCTTTGCAGGTTGCGTGTGCTGGACCGTGAGCTACCCTCAGGATGTGGTCAAGTCTCGCCTTCAGCTGCAGCCGCTGGGCCACCCTCCGCTGTACGCGGCCTCGCGCTGGCTCCCAGACGGTGGCTGGTGGAACTGCTTCCGCACGATCATCAAGGAAGAAGGCCCGCGCGCGCTCTGGAAGGGCTACTCCCCGTGCCTCATCCGAGCCTTTCCCGCCAACGCCGCAGGCTTCTTCACGTACGAGATGGTCCGGTCCGTCTTGTTTGAAGAGCAAGCCGAGCTCCTCCCGATGCATTAGATTTCGAGTAATAAACTCCACGATAGAGGTGTGCCAGTATCATGATAGTACTATTGTAGCGTCCAGCCACGACCATTACGGTGCCTGGCTGATGACAATTGCATGCAACTTGTTGCCCTTGATCCTTCCGCCTTGGTCGTGCATCGTGGTCTCAACTTCAAGCTCCCAGCTATCCGGATACCATATCGACTAAACCATCACTTTAGTCGAAAGGTTTAGTTGGCGTGCAATAGCCAATCGGGCGCGTCGAACAATGGTTGTCGGACGTCTCGAGCAAGCGCTCGTGCAGCTTGTCCAGGGCACACGCGGGTGCTTCGTGTCGCCCAAGATCCGCGTGAATCGCTTTCCGTCCATGGGCTTGGGCGTTCAAGCGGTCGCTCAGATTCCTGCCGGCGAAACTCTCTTCGTGGCGTCCAGCGATCTCTGGTACGATGTCTCTGCGCCCGGTGCCCGCGCCAGCGCCATGGCTGAAGCCCCGGCCTTTCTCGAGCGCGTGGACACGTACTGTCAGAAGAATCGCCGCATGGCCGACGCTGTGCTTCTCGCTACACACGTCGTCATGAAGGACCCGAGCGACCTTTACGTGAGCACGCTCCCGCCGCAGATCGACGTGCCCATGTACTGGTCGGAGCGACGCCTCGACGAGCTGCGCCATTGCGACGTCCTCGACACGATCCAAGACGGGTATGTCCATGTTGTGCACGCGTTGTGTCGCTGACGAACATACAGGCGCGCGTTCTACCGCAACATGTATTCGCACCTCTTTGGCGCGCAGCCCATCGTGAGTCCCGCCGAGTTTCAGTGGGCGCTGACGCTGCTCATGTCGCGCGCGACGTCGGGCGCCAACCAGCCCTTCACGCTCATCCCGTATTTCGAGTGGTTCAACCATTCTGCGTCGGCGTACGTCGAGAATGTGATGGACGCGATTGCGATACCAGCGTAGGTCAGCCTGCCACCACGAGTACGTGGCGAACGACGATGCGTTTGTCGTTACTGCGACGGCCGACCACGCGCCTGGCGACCAGCTCTTTATCAACTATGGCAACCACACGCAGTCAACGTTTTTGCGCCACTACGGTATGTTGGCCGTCGCAATGGTACTTGGCGTCATGTTTTGAATTGGGTACAGGCTTTGCCTCCATGGCGCAGGCGACAGTTCTGGATCCGCTCCAGATCAAGCAAGATGTGGCAATCACAGACGACGGTAACCATCATCGCGTTCTTCTCGAATGGCAAGGAACCCACCTGCGTTCTAGTATCGAACCCGGAGTTGACGCAAGCCAAGATCTCGTGGCTCGAATCCAAGGGAATGCCAACTGCCAAGTCGGTGGTATGTCATTTCTTACTGATGACGGAGTTTGAAAAGGTGCAATCATCCACGTCGCATCTCCATGTAGCCGCTCACGATTCATATCGAGCACCTGGACAAGCACCCAATGGAATGGGAGTGGCTGCGCGTATATGTAGCAAGCGCCGACGAGCTTGCGCACCGTCAGCGACACGGCGAGTGGCAGCCGTCCAACCAGCGGCGCGTGTGGGCGTGGGTCACCGCCTACTGCCAGGGTCGTTTGGCCAAATACCGGACAACCGCCGAGGTATGGTCTCGCTACCGAGAATTCTCGATGGATGAATGTTGTCATTAGGAGGATTACGACTTGCTTCGGAACGAAGAGGCCCCGCTGGAGACGTGGCGCGCCTCGTGCGTCCACGTGCGATTGGGCGAAAAGATGATTTTGAAGAGCCTCCTGGACGTAAACGCGCAGATCCAAGCCGACTCGCGATCTTAACACCGCGTCGCAGGCTTCGGGTGACGTCGTGTTATCGCGTGCTAAATAATCACGATTACGCCTTCTTGCGGTGGCACAACCGCACACGACCTAATTTGGCGCGAAGTTCCATCGTTTGGTAATCATAGATGTCGTGAAATAGTGTTGGTTTAAATAGTGTGATCGCAGGCGCCAACCTCACGAGACGAAGTGATGCTCAGATAGCCGACACTCGCGAGCCATTCCAGTCATACTGGACATGAATATTCTATCCAGTGTGGTCATATTCCTTTGGCTTGCCACGATTTTTACATCCATGGGTGGTATCCTGTCCACCAAGCGTCCAGGCGCACACTAAATCCTGGAGATCCAGCGTCCTATTTTTGTTGGAACCGCCCTGCAACTAGGAATTTGTATGGGAGGTACACTCTGGTGCGACAGCATACGTGATTCGGGAACGGCCCATTTCCATAATCCAACGATTACCCTTCACCAAGTGTTCGTGACTTGGTGGCTTGGTGAGGTTGCAGTTTCAATTTTGACCTGTGTTTGCAGCACCAACATGAACATCATTACGCTCCAGCAGTGGCTTCTCTTTGAAGCAGACATCGCCTTGTATCTTGCTGCCGGCCTCTCTTTCTCGATCGTCTCGGGCTTCCTCTCGTGGTGTCTTCTCGCGACGCGGTGCTTCCACAGCAGCAAGCACCTCGACACTATGATCGAAGACCACACATTTGCGCCTCTCGTCAAGGGCAACTCGCTCAGCCTCCACGACTCGCAGGTGCTCGTGACCCAAGTCCAGCTCCTCGACAACGATGACGAGAGCTGCACGCATGCGAGCTACACAATCACATTGACCTGGGGCGCCAAGCTTGAGGCGTCGCACACGAAGCTGCTCCGGAAGCGCTACTCGGAGTTTGCCCAGCTCATCACGGCAATCAAAAGCGAGATCAAGGAGATGGAGGATCGCCCCGTCGTGCCCGTGCTGCCGTCCAAGTCGCTCTTGCGGCAGCTCAACCCCGCGTTTCTCGAGAAGCGCCGATTGGGTCTTCAGCTTTTTTTGCACCAAGTGGCGTCCAACCCCAAGCTCGCCGACCTTCCGGCTGTGCGTCAGTTTGTTGGCTTGCATTGAGCGACCAACGCCACGCTTTATTTAATCAAGGAACCGCACCACACAAGCCAAAACATGTAGAGTATATCCTGTACTATAGTATAATTGCATTCCGATTCAATCAACGCTCGAAGTTGGTTGTAAGCACTCTGGACACAGCGCACAGCAGCACCTTTAACCGTCACTGGGCAGTCGCTATACATGTACAGTGCTCGGCGGTTGAAGTTGTAGTACAAGTGAGCTTGAGGCCTCGAATCGAACATCCGGTCGCCATTCCCCGGCTCGCAGCGTTGCAATAAATCTCCAGCGTTGCGTTCTGCGTCGTCTTATTTATACCAGAGCAATAAGCTTGCATCGCTCGCTCTACCATGCATAGAGTACTCCGGTAATGCATAGTTGTATCTGCATTGTCGACTCGACCATGGTCGTGCCCGTCGCTGTCTCATCAGAGTGGTCTGCAAGCTCGACATCACTTGCGTTTGGCAGTGCAAATTTCATTGTGGCATATTTTTATTCTTTATCGAAGAAATTGTATGCTCCAATTAAAATTCCTCGCACGAGACGAATGATGCAGCGCTTGAAGATCGCGACGGCGCCGCTCCGGGCCGCCGCCCGCGGTAGCCTCCGCGCGTCCAGCGCTGTGCATGCGATGGCGACCATGCGCGCTCCACTGCAGAGCCCCATGGCAACGCCGCATGCCTCGCCACTCTGGCTCGCCGGACTTGCCCTCGCGTGCGTCGCCCAAGCGGCGCTCTGTGACGAAGCGCCCCGTGCGCTGACCGTCCAAGAGGTCATCACGCTCTACGAGCAAGTGGACACGAACATGCGCATCTTGTCCCGGCAAATGATGGAAGCTCTTGCGTACGAGATTGCGGCAGAGGAAGAGAAAGGGACGGGCCCGGCCATGAGCGTCGAGGACCGCGCGCTTCAGATGAGCGAAACCTTTGAGCAACTTCTCGCCCAAGTCCAAGATTCGGTCTTTCGCAACCACTATGTAACCAAGGAGCAAGTCGCAGACGCCATGCGCCGTATGGAGCGCGGGGTATGTCCACGTCGCTGATTGCGATCTTATGCAACTACTACGGGCATAGGACCTGCCCATCCAGGCCGCCGACGCCGAGCTCATCCACGAGTACATCCGCAAACTGGGTCGCATGCGATGGGAATGCACGGGGTCGCGGGAGCCAATTCGTCGGCGCCAACGTGACACGGCACCCAAGCCGCTCACGACGCCGATCCCTCGTGACGTGCTTGAGGCCATGATGCGTGAACTCATCGGCGCGCTCACCAAGGAAATGGAAGCGATCCTTGCCGACATCAAGACGCGTCATACCAACCTCAAGGACGGCGCCGTCCGCCAAGAGATCGCGACGGCCTACATGGACGCCTCCAAGCTCGCGACAGACGCGGTCGCTGCCAACTTTAACGTTTCGGTCGACGACTTTCAGGTCGCGCTGGCGCACTTTCATGACGACGCGACGTTTCAGGTGCGAGATTCGAATGTGTCATCCAAGAGTCGTGATCGAGTATCCTGCCATTAGGCGACGATGCAGCAGCTCACGGACGCGCAGCACGAGCGGTATGCTTTGATTCGTATCATCGTCACCAACCATGCGTGCTAGGTTTGTGGCGCTTGGCTTGTAACGGCCTGATTACTGGACACGAGGTGCTTGGGGCACGGTGCAAGACAGCAACATCGTGATGTAAGAGGCAAAAATTTGGTTTTGTTCATTTCGTTCATGGTCTTCTTCTACTTATACGATGCGCTATTTGATCAGCTTAAATTAATGGGCGGCCAACGCCGTGGAGCCCGCAACGAGGGCCCACAGCGAGCAGACCTGGCACTTGGCCTTCCCGGGTCCTAAGTTACTAGTGGTGGTGGTACTATCGCTAACGTGGTTGATGCAGCCGTGGCTGCGGTACTGCGCAATAAGGCGCTTCGTGGACTTGCAGAGCGCCTTGTCGCAGTCGGACGAGGTGCAGTCCTGGACGTGGACTAGGCCCTTACGGACCGAGAGCACCTTCTTCATCATTTCGCGCTTCTTGAGATCGTTCGCGAGCTGAACGCGGTGGCGCTCCATGGCGATCGCGATCGGATTGTTCGTTGCACTGGTCATGCCATCGTTGGAGAGCGGGAGGGGCTTGATGGACATATGCGCGTAGCACATTTAGCTTGGTGGGGTCGTCGAGGCGGTCGGTGGGGCGGGCGTCGACGGGCGTGCTGCTCGGGGTGGTGGCAGCGGCGGGCGGGAGGAGGAGTTGGTTCTTGGTGAGTAGTAGTGCTGCTTCCTGTTGCTGTTGTTGTTGTCGGTCCTTGATACTGAAGGAGCCACACCACCAAACCCACGAGAAAACGCCCACGACTTGCAAAAATGAAAAGTGCAGTATTCACGCCGCGCGCCCCGACTTTGGGCCAATCAGACGCCGACGTCGCGCTTAATTAAACGTTCGCGAACCTTTTTTTTCCAAAGTGCGCTATCCACTGTTCTTTCACTTGATATTAGTATGTAGTGTCGCGTCATAAAATAAAAATGGGTCTTGCATTTTTTGCCACAAGGAACGTTCACGTTTCGAGTGCTCTGGGTACACGCGGACTAGGGTTGAAGCTCGACACGGCTACTTGAACTACTTTGACTTGCGTTTTGTATGCGGGCTGTCCCCACCGTCTCATTTTTTTAACAGACGCGCCTCATATTTTATTTTCCGGTGGCGCATGACTTGACGAATGTATAGCCACGCGCACTGCTGCACGGCGACCCAGTTCGAGAAAAGGGACCGTCGCATGCCTTGAGAACGTTCCGTGGACGCGCCGGATAACGTATCCGGCAAGCCGCACCAGCGCGAGAGCAGCGCGCGTTCCGATTGGTCGACGTGGCCTCGCGGGGACCTACTGAACATGCACGTGGAGCCGAGCCGGGGCACTGCACCAGCTGCGGCGGCGCCCCGCCGTGGAAACTTTCTTGGGTGCCCGACCTTGACTGCGCAAGATCTTACCCGGATGATCTGAGTCGATTGAGGAATCACTCGGCGTAATGCAGCGTCCTTGCCAGCGCCTTCTCGGCCTTGGCACTTCAACCACAGACAGCGAGGGTGTTTGCTCATTCGCGCTGCCACGTGGCGAGGGCGATCGATGCTTGTGGCAGCTTGCTGGTGTTTGTGGCATTGCTTGCCCCAGAAACGAGGTCCGCGCACAGTCCCAGACGCCACCATCTTCTTGTGGCACAAACGACGCCGTCGCCGCGTTACGGTGGCCGTGCTGCCTCTCGTTCGTTCTTTCCAAGTGTCAGTGACGCGCGCGAGGCGATGGGCTACTTTGAGCACCGTGCACCGCGACGCTGCTGTCACCCTTCGATCCCAAGTCAAGTCAACCTGCCGTGCCTGTTGCCAACTCTGGCTCAGAACCACTCCGCGTCGTCATGGGTCACCCATGGCGTCGTCTGCATCTCTCAAGGGATATAATAACCACTACACTTTCAGTGCTGCGGCGAAGAGCACACTGCGGCTTGACGGGTTGCAGCCCTGTTGGCTGCCTGCAGGCCAGCACATTGCCCAGCATCATGGACGGAGCGAGCTATCGCCAGGCCGCCTGACCTGTCCATCATTCCTGTGTCCATCTGCAGGGTCGCCCGTTGCGATTACTTCCTCGCTCCGCGGCGCCTACCCTTCTTGGCGCCAAGCGGTCTGTCTCGCACCGCTCGCCGTCATCCTCGTCGTTGTCGTCGTCGCCGAGGGACGTGTAAAATATAAAATCAGGGGCCAATATTTTCGCCTGGATCGGCAGCTATTTATAATCGAAAAGTCAAAGCCAGCCCAAGGTGCCTCTCGTTTTGTATGGCGTCAGTGATATCCTGAATATTATTATTCGGGCCCCCCGATATCCTGGTCAAAATCCTGCACGGGCAATGATAGGACGGTACAATCGGTTTTGATTTCGTCCCCGGGAGATGGACGACGCCGAGCTCGACCCGATGCAGGAAGACGCGACGATGGAGGAGGACATGGAGATCGCGTCGCCGGCGCCGGAAGCGGGAAGATGGCTGGCCTCGCTGCAGGAAGCGATTCCTGCCATCGTCATCATCCGCTTGATGTCGGTCCGCGCCTTTGACGGCGACGGCGCGTCCTTCTCGGTCGCGACGGGCTTCGTCGTCGACAAGACGCGTGGCCTCATCTTGACCAACCGCCACGTCGTGACGTCGGGACCGGTCGTCGCCGATGCCATCTTCGTTAACAAGGAAGAGGTCGACCTCGTGCCCATCTACCGCGACCCGGTCCACGACTTTGGCTTCTACCGCTTTGACCCATCGCGCGTCAAGTTTCTCAAGCTGCACGAAATCCCGCTCAACCCGGGCGGTGCCAAAGTCGGCGCCGAAATCCGCGTCGTCGGTAACGACGCGGGTGAGAAGCTCTCGATCCTCCCAGGAATCCTCGCCAAGCTGGACCGCGAAGCGCCCAATTACGGTACAAGCGGCTACAACGACTTCAACACGTTCTACTACGCGGCCGCTTCCTCGACGAGCGGCGGCTCGAGTGGGTCCCCCGTGCTCAACATCGACGGCGAAGCCATTGCGCTCAACGCCGGCGGGTCCAAAAAGGCCGCGTCGTCTTTCTACTTGCCGCTGGACCGCGCGGTCCGGGCCCTCAAGCTCATCCAGCAGGACATCTTGGACATTCCGCGTGGCACGTGGCAAACCATCTTTCGCCACGCCGCGTACGACGAGGTCCGGAAGCTGGGCTTGACCGCCGACGTCGAGGCCGATGTGCGCAAAACACTGCCCGACGAGACAGGGCTGCTCGTCGTCGACCAAGTACTGCCAAAGGGACCGGCCTTTGGTCTTCTTGAGCCCGGTGACATTGTCATCCGCATCCAAGGACAGCTTGAGACGACATTCTTGGCCATGGAAGCGCTCGTCGACTCAAACGTCGGCAACGTCATCCCTGTCGAGATTCAACGCGGCGGACGATCCATCGTCGTGCACGTGACGGTGCAGGTACGCTCTACGGCGTTTTGATCTCGCGTTGCTGAGCGATGATGTACCTAGGACCTCCATGCTATCACGCCGAACCAGTTTCTCGAAGTTGGGGGCTGCATCTTGCACTCGCTCTCGTACCAGCAAGCGCGAAATGCTTCGCTGCCCGTGGGACACGTCTATTTGGCCCAAGCAGGTCACATGCTCATGAAAGCCCACATTGCGCAGCCGTGTATCGTCGTTTCGCTTGACGGCAAGCCGACACCGACGCTGGAAGCCTTCATCAGCGCGATCAAGGAGCTTCCGAATGGCTATCGCACAGTCATGCGCTACTTCTTGACTCGTGACCGGCACCGGATCCGGAACGCTGTTTTGAGCATCGACCGCCAATGGTTTCCGATGCAGCTGTACACGCGCAACGATGCCGACGGGCTCTGGCACCGACACAAGTACGAGGCGCCGCCGACGCCGCTTGCGCTGCAGCTGCCTGCGTATCCCGCTGCGCCACTGAGCGTTCCGGGGCTCAACTCGGACTTGGACAAGGCGACGTTCACCAAGCTCCTCTCGTCCCTCGTCATGGTTGCGTTCGACATCCCGTGCATGATTGACGGCATCTCGAGCTCGAGCTACAACGGCGTCGGCATCGTCATTGACGCCGTCAAGGGCCTCGTGCTCGTGGACCAAAACACCGTGCCCATCGCCCTCGGCGATGTGGTGGTTACCGTCGCCGCGTCGATCGAGACGCCCGCCAAGGTGCTTTTTGTGCACCCGGTCCACAACTTTTCAATCATTCAGTACGACCCCGCGCTCCTCGGCGACACGCGCCTCGAGTCGGCCGAGCTCTCGAGTGAAGTGCTCCAAGTTGGCGACCAAGTCGACTTTGTCGGGCTCACGAGCACGTGGACGGTCGTCGCGATGAAATCGCTCGTCACCAAGATCGACCGGCTCGTGCTCCGCGACTTCCAGCCACCGCGCTACAAGGCGAGCAACGTCGAGGTCATCCACTTTGACCGCATTACCAAGTCGGTCGGCGGTATCTTTGTCGACAGCCGCGGTCTCGTGACGGCGCTCTGGCTTTCCTTCAGCTACCAAGACGAAGGCGGTCGGCGCGAGGTGTTTCGCGGCATGTCGGTCGATATCATCCGCGAAGTCGTCGACTTGTTTCATGGCGGCGCGTCGCCCCGCGCGGTGACCGTGCTGCCGATTCAGCTGTACACATACCCTCTCTCCAAGGCCCGCGCCGGCCTCGGGCTCTCGCCGCACTGGATCCGGGAGCTCGAACAGTGCTACGACGACAAACGCCAAGTTCTCGCCATCAAGCGGTGCGCCGCGGGCACGGACGCATATGCACAACTACAGAGCGGTGACCTGCTCCTCTCGATTGATGGCACGGTTGTGGCCAAGGACTTTGACGTCGAGCGCCTCTGCATGGGCAAGTCGGAAGTGCAACTCGTGGTGCTTCGCGAGCAGCAGGAGATGACGCTGCCGGTGCAGACGATGGAGCTAAGCGGGTGGGGCACGAGCCGCGTGATTACGTGGTGCGGCCTCGTCATTCAGGAGCCCCACTACGCCGTCGTGAACCTCGGCTACGTCCCGGAGGAGGGCGGCGGCGTCTACTGCTCTCGGTGGTGCTACGGCAGCCCCGCGCACAAGTACGGTCTCCGCGCCACCATGTGGATCGTGCAGGTCAACAACGAGCCGACGCCAACGCTCGATGCGTTTATCAAGGTGGTCGAGAACCTCCAGAATGGCGCGTCCGTGCGCATGAAGACAGTCGCGCTCAACACCAAGCCCAAGGTGCTCACGCTCAAGACAGACTACCACTACTGGCCAACTGTCGAGCTGTGCCGCAACGCAGACTTGGGTGATTGGGCCTACGTGTTCCACCCCAACAAACCATAACGGCCGCTACCCTCTTGCAGTACGACTAGCGTACGACCTTATAAAGCATAACAAAGTAGGACGCGCAGGCTTTGACACCATACTACTACTCGTATTTAGGGTTAAATGAGTGCCTGGGCGACGGCAGCAAGCGCAACCAACGCGCCCAGCGCCAACGACACAGCACCACTCACAGGCTTCTCCTGCGTCATGATCTCGACAACCGTTTCCGTCGTGACCGGGGCCGTCGTGGGGGCTTGCGTCGTCGGCGCCTGCGTCGGCGCTTCGGTGGGCGCCTCGGTCGGGGCCTCGGTCGGCGGCAGAGTTTCCCACGGCGACGTCTTGCATTCGGCGCCACGGCACGCCTTGAGAAGTTGCGGGATGCCATACCCCGACGGCTTGACCTGGCAGCCCGGGACGTCAGGCGTGCACGGCTCGCAGACCTGGGCGTAGAGCTTGCGGCGACAGCCTTCCGAGCACTGCGGCAGGTTCATGTAGCACGGCGGGTTCTGGGCCGAGAGGTCCTCAAGCGGCGGGAACGGCTCCATGCGCTCGTCGGCCAACGTCACGTTATTTTGGTAAAAGTCAATGAGCTGCTGGGCGCGCGCGGCGTTGGCGTCCGGGTCGGTCGGGTTGTTCCAGAACGGAATCGTAAAGTTGTCGAGCTGCTCGACGTTGCCGTCGAGGCAGAACTCGCGCTTGTTGGCGTACGGCTTGCCCGTCTTGTTGCTGACCATGGACGTGATGCCAACGAGGTCGTCGAGGCTGAGGTACCCCAGCACGCGGTGCGAGTACGTGCACGTGATGCCGTCCGGGAGCGTGCCGTACGGGCAGAGGCCACCGGAGATCTGTTTGCGGCAGTCGTTGGTCTTTTGCGGGAACCGCTTGGTGAAGCACGAGTTGGGGAACGAGAACCAAATGTTGTCGCGGTACGGCGCGCGCGGGTCCGACGTACGCGGCTCGCCGCCGACGCACGGCCCGAGGTTGGGCTGGCCATGCGCGCCGTTGTACTCGTAGCAGATCTGCGGCAGCGACCCGGCGCGGTTGTACGGCGTGCACATGCCGCCGTCGAGCGCCGCGAACGAGCAAAACTCGGGCGAGATGCCCCAGTTGTTTTCAAACTCGGCGATCGTCGCCTTGGAGTTGGCGACGTGCACCTCCATGAACCAGACGTACGCCATGTTGTTCTTGCGCCGGCAGAGCGGGTTGGTCTTGGCGTTGATGCCCTCGGCTTGCACGTACATGAGCGCGCCCTCGACGCTGGCCGTGTTGACCGTGTCCATCACGGCGCGGTGGCGCTCCTCGAACGTGTTGCCGAACGGCGCCACCCACGTCTTCATCTGCTCGTCGTAGACAGGGACGCCGGCTTGGACGCGCGCCTGGATGCCGCGCACCGGCGTCACGTGCCAGCCGTCGGCTGTTGCGGGCGCGACGCCGGGCGATGCCAGGGCCGCGGCGGAGGCCATCGATGCCAACGTCACCAGGAGACGAACCATGGCGAATCAAGAAATGAGCACCAGCCGCGCTCCCTTTGATGGATGCAAGGTTGGCCACCAATTCGCATAAAAAGTGCATACTTGCTGATGCTACTGTGCAATGGACCAATCCACGATGGGTTTATGACTAGACAAGCGAATTGCTGGGAAAAAGCCAGGCGCCGAGACGGCGTCGACTTGGAATTTGTATGAAGACCGTCGGGATGAAAATATCATCGTGAACCCATGCAGAATTCACCTGCGTCGCTGGTGTCACATGCTGGGGCTGGGACTGGTCATGGACGAGCGACGCAAGTTGTACGCTACACGGAGGAGGAGGTTGGGCGCCACGGATCGCCATGCATGGAGCTGACGTGCCACACGCCACTACCGCACGGCGTGACGTGGCAGCGCCCATGGGGTTTTCGCTAGAGTCACTGCAACTTGGTTTTCGCGCGCCTTGCTTGAGAACGTTTTGCGTGGACATCCCGGTATCACTGAGATGTTTGCCTTGCCGATACCAAGTACGATAGATGAAGCTGTACGACGTCTAGACTAGAATAGTGCCGTTGAGATTGAGGTAGTCCGCTCTTTGGACGCTTGCACGGCTCCGTCAAGACGGTGTAAGGCACAGAGCCCGCAATATATTTACTATCTGGATCATCACTGCGCGAGAAGTCGATGCCCTTTGCGGCACACAAGATGTACGTACTCGTACCGAGGCACCATAGGCGACAACGCGTACAGGACAGTGGTCTCGAAAAGTGGGAACGTTCCACCATTTATTGCTGCTTGCTATGGTCTTGATCCCGGTAGCACGCGCTGTAAGAAAACGGTGCATCGTCATTCATGTGCAAGTTAACTGCGGTTTACTGGACCTGTGGCGGCGCTGCTGCTACTTGAATAGGCTTGACTGGTCCAGCACTTGACGTGGACACGCCTTTGGTGGCAGCGGTGCCGGACGACGTATAGTCGGCTCGATTGAGGCGAGTAAACTTGGGGCCGAGCATGAGCCCCATCACGACCAGCTACAGGCCTCTCAGTCTTGCACCAACCGTATTTCTTGTCGTACGTACCGTGCACACGAGCGTAATTACCGAGCAAAACGTAAAGCTCGTCGTCGCTGGCAATTTCACCAGATACGAAAGCGGAATCAAAAAGAGCGACCCCATGAGCACGACGCACGCCGCCGAGAAGATCCAAATGGATTCTTGAAAGTCG